CATTTTTGGTAAAAAGTGATATTTTCTTTTTATTTATGGTCAAAAATGATATTTTTGAATTCTTGTTGAAAACAGCAAGTCCCATTGCATTGATACTATGCATATTGTTCATTTTCTAATGATATCTTCTGTTCTTTAATCGAAATGTGCATTGCTAACAGCGGAGCTATCTCAGCCGAGAGGCTGCTTGGTTTAGTTCTCGTTCAGATTCTTGTGTACTGCTTAGGAAAAAATAACTGAGGATTGTTGAAAGAACACTTCATCCAACAGTCTTTTTGTCTAATATTATTTGAACCATTTTCTGTATTGATTTTTACAGTGGTATCAACTGATATTCCTGAGTTTAAAGTTACACCCAGCAATCGGACAACAAGACTTGGATTCAATGCCATTATGACATGTGTTGCTGATGGAAATCCAGCTCCAACCATTACAATAGACAGTTGGTACAAAGACGGCAAACCACTTAACCCTGTTGGTAAATGCACACATTATAATAGTCTGATTTCAAAGTTAGTTTTCAGAACAGGACCGTGATAGATAGTTTGAATGATAACAAGTTGAGATAATTTGTATTTTATTGCACTGTTATTTCCACACATTTTTTTTTAATATGAATAATTTTTGTATTATTAGACTTCTAATTGTTTCTTGATTGCAATTAGAACTTTAATAATAAGGCTCCTGGGGATTCTTTATCTTCATTAACACTTATTTGTTCATTTGAAGATGTCAAGTCGGGTCGCATCAAGGTCTTGCTGAATGGTAACTTGCAATTTACACGTACACATCGCTATGATACCGGTGAATACACCTGTTTGATTCGTAACACTGCTGGTACAAATATGTCTAGTGCTTATTTACACATTGAAGGTGAGTCAATCATTATATTTATTTTAACTTGTTTTGACTTGATGTACCCCTCCCCTGTAGGTGGCTGAACCAGGGCATGAATTATGTGAAATGTGATGTTGGGTTATATGTATGAATCGGTTTATGAATTGAGTTTGGTGGTGGTCAGAATTGTGCTCAAAATCTACATGATCAATGTTAGAATGTAGATTGGATTCAACTGAATTATGGGTACACATTCTGATTCTATAAATGACATGATTACTGTAAATCTCTTATTTTTGTGACTGACAAATTTTTCCGTGAATCAGGAAAACCACCAAATTTCCCCTGTGGTCCTTAACAGCAAGTTGTGATTACTATCATGAATTGTAATAATATCGAAACATGTGATATTATTTGTGTACATTACTTGGAACGCGCACAGTACTATATGGTGACATCATGCCAAGATCCCATTCAAGTCTTATCTCGTAGATAGCGAGACTGATGCTACGACCTTCTGACATGACATAGGCAGTTTGTAATAAAACAATAAAACATGTATTACCACATTCATAGTGAAAAAATGTAATACATCGTAAATGTACAGAAAATATATTTACCGTAATCCGTGATATCGTGAGCAGCTATTTTGATCACAGTCCGGGACTGTGTTTTGATCTACCTGGATATCCCAGTATCCTAGTTACCTCTGACATGCGCATTCGCATTTTTCTTAGTTGGAACGCTTATGCGAGAGCACGATTGAAATGGAATCTTGGTATCATGTCACCGTAGATGCAAACCCCAAGTAATGTACCTCTGGTATTACATAATATAGCAATATTTTTTTTTATTTTTCTTAGTTTAGTATTTGTTTGAGTAATTGTTTCAGCAATGTATTGTATTGTTCTCTCAATAGAAAAACCTGAAGTAATTGGAATTCAGCCTGGCCTAGCTGTTCTTGGTGAGACTGCTTTATTACAGTGTGTAGTGGCGGGTATTCCTGAGGCTAATATCACATGGCAACGCAATGGACTGGAGTTAGATGGTCATCGTTATATTAGTTTTGATGAGAATGGCACTTTATACATAATGGAAATCACTGCACAGGATAGTGGTCACTACCGCTGTATTGTAGAAAATGAATTAGGGATTGACTTTGCTACAGTGCCACTTACAGTACAAGGTATGTTCAGAATAAAGATACAATGTATTGGGGTGTACTAGCTGCTTTCAATTTTTTTCTTGTAAATTTTGGACCTTTGAACTATAAAAATGACTGAAAATATATAGAATATGAAATGGCTCAAGTAGTGAGAAGGATGAAAACAACTATTTGTTGAGTTTTGCATTCTTTTTGTCCAATTGTCTCAGAACCACCAACATTCAGCATAAAACCCACCACTTACGAGGCAAATGAAGACGACAACGTTCTGATAGTTTGCCGAGCTGTTGGTACACCAACGCCAATCATTCATTGGAAGAAAGATGGAGAAGACTTGCCTAAAGGCAGTAATAGGTAACGTTTCTTTGCACTTTCATTACTTTTACTAGTATCCACTGTTACCCATGTTTGGCACCAGTTCAGGCACATCCTGTGATTTCTCAGATAGCTTGTCTGAGCATATTCAAACTTGGTACAAGGATAAATTATGAATTTCTTTTTCATGTTGAGTAGATGTTTCAAACCTCTGTGACACTTAATTAAACATTCCTTCCGTTTTTCAGGTTTATTACAACACCCACTGGTGACCTGCATGTAAATAGTGTAATACGAAGTGACATGGGAAATTATGCGTGTATTGCTGTTAACAGTGTGCAGATAGTTACTGTATTCACACAGTTGCTGGTAATTGGTAAGTATTCTTTAAACTCTACATACCGTTTATTGTATATGGTATATTCTTAAAAGAGGATTAACCTTTTCACCACCAGACTTTCTTGCCCAATTTTTTTTTTTTTATATATATTCTTCATTATTTCTGGAAATGAACCATCATTTTGGAGTAAACAGACAAAATTTGAGTGAATTTTCAGTTTTTACTCAAAAAAGCTGCTATTTTTGTCTCAATTTTTTGAATGGAATTGCAGACTATAAACAGGACTTTTTTTGAATTTGTGATGAAAAGAGGGAACTGGTGGTGAAAAGGTTAATGTTAATAAATGTGTCACTCATTTTATGTATTAATGGCTGCTCTTTGAAAAGCCTTCCAATTTCCATGGCAGTATGGTCATTTATGGAATATTTGGTGATATTGATGTGTATATCCAAGTAACATAATGTAATGATGTCATAAATAAGACTCTGAATTATCTTTTCAAACAGGTCCACCAATGATAACAAAAGCACCAGAAAATACTACATTATTTAGTGGTGATCGTTTGAGCTTGGCATGTGATGTGATTGGAGCTCTCAGTCCTACAGTTATTTGGATGTATAATGAAAAGAAATTGCATAATAATCAGCATTACATAATATCTAGCACAGATCATAGTCTGGTTATTGAGTCTGTCAACTCATACGATAGTGGAACTTATACTTGTATTGCAAGCAACCGAGAGGGATCAGCAAATGCCTCAGCTAATGTTCTTGTACTTGGTAAGTTTCTGCTCTTTTATTCTGGATCTCAAGATAGCGAGTTTATATATATATATATATATGCCTGCAATGACGAGCCATTGACAGCATGGCCTTCTTTGTTTTTGTTTGATTATTGACAAAAAGTTCCATGCGGTGGTCGATTTAATTACTGTAGTTTTTGTAAATATCCCCCTCCCCCAGTATTTCGTGGTCTTTTCTTTCTTTTTAGTGGTAATTGTGCTATTGTTTGCATTCAGAGACTTAAATAATAAGGGAAACGTTTTTGAATGTTAGAATAGTACCCTATGATAAATCAGTGAAAATATTATGTACATCTCATTCAGATAAAAATATCCAACAGTTGAGTTTACATTCAGATATAACATGATGGAATTTATTTTGTTGCAGGTGCATCACCATTAAAATCATTGACATCATCAATTCCCCATGGAATGATAGCAGGCATTGTGATTGGTATCTTGGTTTTTATTGTGGCAGTTGTAGCGCTTATATTCTATAGACGACATTATGTGAGGAAGAAACAGTTCTCTCCTGCAAGACTTAATCAAATTGTGCGTCAGTCGGGAATGAAAGGACATTCAATGGAATTTAACACTGTGTCTTATGTTGCAGGTGAACGCATAACCATGCACCCAGAGGGTGAAGATGTCTCTCCATTAGTTTCAGTGTATTCAGACAAAATTGAGAAAGTTTAATACAAGTATTGTAATTTAAA